GAGTCAGCAGCGTATTGGTGTGAAACCGGCTGAGCTTGTCCTGGAGAGTGTAGACAGGAGTGTCAGTCCAGTTCTGAATGTGGGACAGTTGAAGACGCGGAAGAGAGCTGTTTCCGTGGTGGCAGACCATGGTGGGTTCAAGAGCAAAAGGCCAGCGGAGGCGTGGGGCAGCAGGACACGTTTTTGCTGGGAAGGAAGGGATAGAAATGGGCTGGAGCTGTGGGGCTAAGGGCTTTTTCTGTTTTGAAGATGGGGCCTTGGTGGGAAAGCCTGATGACACAGCCGAGGGAGGGGGCGTGTGTGAGTGATGCGCTTGAGGAGACAAAGGGCTGGAGATGCAAGAGGGAGTGGAGGGCTGACCCCTGAAAGGGCAGGGAGGGGAGATGGGGAACAAGGGTCGATGCAGAAGGAGTGTAATTTCTACAGAAGACATAGAGGGACTTTCTGGTCTTTCCCTTGCATTTCACTGCAATGGGAGATACACCATCAGCCGGGCACCTTTCTGTGTGATTTCTGTGTGAGTGTATCTGTTACGTCTGCATATGTGTGTGGATGTGTGTCTCTCTGTGTCTATATGCACCTAGGGCTGTGTGCACTGTGTGTGTGTGTGTGTGTCACAAATGTGTGTATGTGTCCGCATGTATGTTTGTATGTGTGTCCGTGGATGTGTCTCAGGGTCTGGAGGTGTATTTGTGAGGATGGGTATGTGTGTGTCTATATGTGTCTGTGTCTGTGTGTGTGGGAATGTTGTGTGTGTGTGTGTGGTTGAGGTCACATTAGGCCTGATGTCACCTTCGTGGAAGGTGGAGGACAAACACCAGCAGGCTGTTGATGGTCCTGTGAGCTTTGTGGTCATGAGTGTAAGGGAAGCCCAGTGAGCCCTTGCCTCCTGCAGCGTGGGGGGCAGACTGAAGGGGTTGATCTGGTTGGGGTTTCCAGGGGAGTGAGACAGAAGGAACAGTGCACAAGGTCATAAGGTGGGTCAGGATGCACCCCAAATCTAAGCTCGCAGAAGAAGGGAGTGAAGCCAGCAGGGGTGATGGAAGCTCCCCCCACACACCCGGTGACATGTGGCCCTTCCACGCACTGTGTGCACCCTACTGACCAGTCTATTCTGTGCTTACTGGGCCGTTCTGGACTCCACTGGGCCCATGTGATGGGTGCTGGGAATATTTGGGGGCTTGGTGTTAGAGTAGACGGGTCCTATGGAGCTGGTAGATTCCAGAATGACCCCTGGGGTCTGCCCAAAGACAGCTGGAGAGGCAGGGCCCCCCTAACCCCATGGTTGGGAGGGAGAGAAGGCAGAAGACCGCCAACTGGGGTGGGAGGCTGGTGACGCGGTCTTCTCTGGGTCTCGGGAAGTGCTCCGCCTGACAAGGAGCTGCACACACTAAGGTCTTTGCTGCCACCTCGTGGGCCGGCAGGGGATAACCAGGCCGCAGCTCAGGAGCGAGGACTTAGCTCCCCCTGGTGGCCGAGCCCTGTCTCTGCCAGTGGAGACCTATGCCCTCCTCCCAGGGTCCCGGGCGGCCCCATGGACAGCACAGATGCCTATGGGGCACGGCGGTGGGAGGGCACAAGAGAGACGGGTCCCAGCCCATCTCTGGTGGGTGGATCCCCAGCTCCAGATCTTGTCCTGTGCAGCTCTGGGCAAGCCTCTCTGCACCTCAATCTCTTCACCTATAAAGTAGGGCGAGGTAGGCGTGATCAGGGCTGCTAGGCAGTGCATGGGAGAGGCCAGCATAGTACCCGCTGCCCTGAACGCTTGATTCAGGCTGGTACGCTCACTTCTGACCTCTGACCTCTGACCCTTGCCCTAGGCCGGTCCAGAGGTGGGGGAGGGGGCAGTAGCATCTGTTCCCAGGTGGCCGCAGCACTGCCATACCCCTGCCATCTCACAGCTGAGACTCTTGTGCAAAGGGCTCTTTGGGGCGGTGTGGAGAGTCCGTACACAGCTTTCAATGCCAGGCCAGGCCTCACTGAGGGACCAGGACTCAAGGCTCCCACATGCCCTGTCCCCCAGCCTGGGCCAGTGGACCACAGAGGGCAGCCATGGCCAACATACTCTGTCCTCTTCCCACTCCAGGGACAGCTCCCCCTGCCCTCCAAGGGTGGCCTCCTCCAGGTCATTGTGCCCATCAGCATGGAGTCCCCAAAGATGATAGCATTATTTCAGGCCTGCTCAGCCCCAGACTGCCCCCCCTAGCTCCTTGAGATCACCCTGGTCCATTCCTGGGCCCATGGGTCAGCGCTCACCTCCCTGTGCCCAGCTCTGGGTCCCATGGCACTTAGGTAGGGTGGGGAGGAGATGCCAGGAGGAAATTCCCTTGATGAGCCGTGGGTACCCCCTAGAGAGGACGAGCTAAGAGGAGATGGGGGCGTGAGGGTTCTTGTCGGCCTCTGGGTTCTCCTGAGGTTCCAGTGTCCCACCCTTTATTGAGGGGGGCGTAACCCCAAGGATGAAATTGGCAAGTGGGTCCTGCCTGGGAAGGGAAGGGGGTGCTAGAGGACTGTCCCTTCATCCACTGCCTGCCCACCTCTGTCCTGGGCCCCTGTGTGGGAGGCCGGGCCAGTGAGGACAGCAGGAGGCCAGAGGTGCCTGAATCTCATACCTGACAACCTGGCTGGACCTCGCATCTCATCTTCCCAGGGATCTCCCAAGCTTCTGGGGCTCACAAGCCTCAGGGAGAACCTTAGGTTTTGGGGGCGTCGGTTCTCTTTACCACTCACAGAGCAGGGCTCATGTCCAGGGAAGTCGCAGCTGCTCTGAGGGCAAAGTCCTGGCTAGGGACGTCACTGTGGGCTGCCCCAGAGAGGCCCCCATTTGGAAGACCAGGCTGGGGAAGGACACTGGGGTTTGGTGGTGGTTTCCCCAACTTGATGAGCCTGCTGGGAGGAGCCGGTGACCCTTTCTTGGGGACTCAGACAGACCTTCCTTCCAGACTGTACCCACAAAATGGGGAACAGGTGAAATGGGGCAGGGAAAGGTAGGAGGGAGCAGCGCAAGATGGCCCCAGAGAGGAAGGGGACTGTCCACAGTCCCCTCTAACCCTGACACATTATACGGACTCACACACATGTACACACCCCCTCACTCCAGACATAGATACGTATAAGACAGACACCCAGCACACCACTTACACACACACTCACACACACCATACTACAAACATAGACATAGACTCAGGTACTCACTTCCCTGCCCAAATGCCCACAGACACGCACACACACACACTTTTCCTGTGTTGGCAGTTAGGTCCACTGTTCCTAACTAAGCCCTAGGCCTATACAAGGCTGGAGGTTGGGATTGGGGGCTGAGCTGGGTCCAGAACTTCCTCAGTGGGTTCAGAAGGAAGACTCAGGACTGGGCCTCTGGGTGTCACCCTGGGAACCATCAAGCAGTGATCAAGGTCATTGCCTGTTATCTGCCTCATCACCAGGAAGGAAAGTCCCTCTTTGATGGGCGTGTTGTGTGTGTACATCTGCCCAACTCAGGTCTGGTTGTCTGAGAGATGACACAAGTAAAGGTGTGCTTTCCTTCACCCCAGCACACACACACACACACACACACACACACACATACATGCTCACACACACACACGCTCACACACACATGCTCACACACACACACACAC